ATGATCTGGCCCCTTCACTGGACGCTGAGTTCCTGGGAGTGGGTGCGGGGTGAGGAGTATCTGTTTTTGCTTGTGATTGTCTCCTGAGATCCCATTCCAAGACCTTGAGTCACACCCTCTAAAGAGGTTTTGCGAAGAAATGGATTTGCCATGATTTGTGAAGGATGGAAGTGCACCCTGGATTTCTCTGTAAGACTCTGTAATCAGCATAATGGATGCTGCTGGACAGCCATGAGCTCTTTTGGCCAAGATACCATCTTGCGAAGCGCGAGCGGATTGGCTTGACAGCCATGAAAACTTTCAAATGTGGCAGGAATTGCTTCCGCGGGCAGCAGTCCAGCGAGGAGCACCGCCTCAGTCTCTCTGCAGACGAAATGGTGGGTGTCTCGAAGGCTGCAGATCGCCTTTGAAGACCACTGCCTTTGAGACAACCTCACACTCGAAATGCGAATCTGTAATCTTTTTTTTTCTTTTGCTGACATAGACAGACAACATCAGTGATGCAGATCTTGCCAAAATTACTGACAAAGGAAATGATGCAATGTGAATTCAATGCAGACTCTTACAGAATTTTGACCCAAGCACACCCTTGCCCGACAACATTAATTACAGGGGCTTAGGTTTCACTTGATACTTTAATACGTTTGTAACACGTGTTTCCATCACATAAAAAAATCAAATCAATTAGATATCATCGGTATGTGTGTGTGTCACAGGTCAAAGACCACTTGGCACTCCTCCTCATCATGGTCTTTTGTATTCTATGAGCACAAAATTGTGAGTGTGGCTCTTTTTTTTTTTTTCTGGACAGGTGATCCATGGCTTTGATCAGTTTCTTCATTCACAAGTGTAGGAATCAGCAAACTGCCCTCTGACTAAGGCCTCTTCCAGCCCTAAAACTACATAAATCTCAATGTCGCCTGCCAAAGTGGTGATATTATTGGAAAATTTAGTGACCATCCAGATCCCTCGTATTTGCAGTGTCAAATATCTGCCTGAAAAATAGCATAGTTTTTGCCCAGATGTTTGGCGTCATGTACACAGAGGCAATGCCTTAGCTATGATGTTATAACTCACATCCTTGTATGACTGATGCTGGGCTCTCAATTTTCCCTATGCTGAGTGTGTGAATCAAAAGCCAGCTTAGCTGAAGGTTGTCAGGGACCCATCATGACAGGAAAGAGAAAGGGACCATATGAATCTCCTTGGTTATAACAACTAAAACTTGATGGGAGATGAGTCGAATGCCCACCCACCAACTCCCTACCCAGCCCACTTTTGGAAAGTGAAGGAGTGGAAGACAGGTGGAAAGGTGTCTTTTCCTACAGAGAAGATGTCTTACTGTTCTGAGCACCTGCATGGGACAGGAAGGGACCAGAAGAGCCCAGAGCCACACCCAATGCCATCTCGAGGGCGTAAGAGAGATTGCATCCATATGCTCCTGACTGCTTGGCTGTAGGCAGTTAACATGGCAAAATACATGAAGAAAGAGAATGTAGAACTCCAAAGAGTTTTAGCTACAGATCCTAAAAGGTTGCTAATTTTTATTCCTTTTTTTTTTTTTTTTTTTTTTTTTTTTTTACTTTATGATAGCTTTGAGAATAACATTAAAAAGCTTTTGCCACCATGTAAGGTAGCACTGATTGTCCAAGAAACTCAAACTTCCTTTCTATACACTATCTAATTATCCTCTCAAATTCCCTGGTTCCTCTTGCCACCCCTCACCCCCACAAAGCACCCTTCTCTACTTTGGGTTGCTCTCCAATATGAAATGAGTATTGAAAAAACTTCCTTTCACCCTCAATTAAATCTCTTTGACACCAAATGAGAGGGATGTGGTAGGGGAGTAAAATTAGTGAACATCACGTCTTTGGTTCTTATCATTTGCAGAACATTCCTGGGTCCTAGTAATGCACTTGCTGGATGGCCTTGCCCAAAGAAATCGTTGATTTAGGGCCTAGGATCATTTCCCGAGATACTTTTCTCCCTGCACGGCTCAATGGGACCATTGGGTGGGGGTGCTAAGGATCTGTGAACGATATTAAATGTCTCGGGCCCTGTGGTGGGGTATGTGGGACTCTTCACCACTTATCAATTTTTCAGTCTGCTGCTTTATCTACCTGACAGGGAGACTTGAACTACTGCCATTTCTAAATTGCACTTCTAAATATTGACTTAATGGCGAGACTCAATGTGTCATAACACAGCTCACTGGAGCAATGAAGATTTTCCAGGCCTCATCACGAGGTCTGTACAGCGTCCTGTGGGGAGCAGAGAAGGAAGAGGAGGATTTAAGAAGAAAACTCAAATCAAGTCCTGTTTGGAAGAAATGCCACGGGGCTTCACTTCATCTTGCAGAGACAAATGAGCGTTCACCGGGCTATTGGCTGGGGCTGGAGGGGACCGGGGAGGAGAACGGATAACAGTGTCCATCAATCCCTAAGCCATCAGCCAGTAAGAATGGGGAGATCTCAGGGCAGCCCTAATAGGGCTGAGCTACGGAAACAACCAGTTCTCCGTGAGCTTTTATCTGCGAATCCAGTTTGGAAGGACTGGGCAGGGTCTGAGAAACGGGAGACTTTTCTTCCAGTTTCTATCAAGGCTCTCTCCTGGTCAAATCTGAAGCTAATCTTCATTTAAATCACTGAGGAAATTCCGGGAGACTATCTTTTAAGCTGCTTCCCTCCTGATAGTTAACACTGTCACCGATCTTAAGGCGCTTTTGTCACATCACATTAGCTGTTGAACTGTGAATCAAAGGAAGTGATTGACCTCTCCTTTCCTTAAGGAGCTGTTTGGGAGAAGCAATGAGATATTTTGCATGAAAATTAGCTTGGAGATTTATTAGACACAGAGTGATCCATAAATTCAGATTCTCCAAGAGGAGCTAAAGCAGAATGCTCTGTGATACGGCAGAGAGAAGTTGAAATAGAGCAACCACCCTTCTCTAAGACCCCTCCTGAACACTGGCACCATGGCTGTCCGGAAGGTCCCCATGTGAGGAGCAGGCATGTGGGGGTGTGGGAGGGTGTTCATGGGGGACGTGTTCTTCAGAGCCTACAGAATTTTCCAAGATAGAGAAGGTTGAATGGCAGATGGCCCTAGTTACGTTGGAATAATAGTAATCTCAACAGCCCTGAGATATAAGGTGGTCCCTAGTGCGGTTGCCTGGTCCATTCCTCTCCTCTGCTGTGCATGTGAGCCCTCATGTTTACGTATAATCATGCATCTGAGAACGAACTCAACGTGCCACAAGATCTTTCAGCTTTAGACCTCATTGCACTGGGCTCAGCCCTGAGCGTGGCTCCTCTAGCAAGTCTGATTAGCCTGGCTCCTTACTCTTAACCTGCTTCCTTACTCTAATTCCCAACTCCACGGGAAGTTGAGTCTCCACTGAAGACAATGGAGGCCTCTGGTACCCTTGTCTTGCGCAGAAGCTTCTACGTCCTTCAAGGTGACTTTCGATGGGTGGAATGCAAGGTCTTTACAAACTCTGTGGTCATGCCCCTGAAGCCAGCTCTGCTGGCACGGTCAGCCTGTTCCTGTTTGTTCTCCCACCCAGTCTGAATGGACAGCCCTGCCTGGCCTTCACAAACTCACCTGTGGAGGCTGGTGGCTGCTTGGTGGCAGCTTTCACAGCACACACCCACTACCATTCTGCTGGGAGTCTGCTCCCCACCGTCTCCATCTGTCTAGGCCCTTACAACTCCAAGAGCTGGCATGTGAACTGGAGTGCCCCAGCAATCGCCACATGGCCACCTCCAACCACTATCTTCCAAGCTCCCACTGCAGGCCCACAGCCTCAGCGTGGGCCAACTATGAGTCAGCTCCCACTTACTCACCCTTCTCTCCACTCTCCCCATCCGTGCCAGCCACACTCCCCCAGCCCCCACCACCTGTCACTATTCCACACATGTGGCTGCTGCCCTTGAGCCAACCTAATGGGACCCTCAGTGCTTCACCCCGTCTCCCTCCAGGCAGCTCTTCATTTATCCCTTCCTTTCATCCAAGCCTCCCCCAATACCTTCTTCCTTAATGGCAATCTTTAGTATTACACTCTAAGAATTAGGGGAAAAACGTCTACAGTCAGATTTCCCACCTACCCTAAGAACAAATGCCACCAATAAGACAATGCTGGCAAGCTGATCGTTTTGCTAACACGGACCCATATCCTTAACAGATTCTCATGTGCCAAGATAAGCATATCCTCAGGACTTTTCACAATAGCCAGGGGGGTTCACATGACCATGTACTTCATGGCAGTAAATCAAGTCATGTAGTTTTTCCCTGATTTAGACTGTGTAGGAGTTACCATAATACAAAGGGGCTCATTTGCTGCACTACTAAAAAGTCCTGCACTCTTGGATTTCTCATCTGCAGAATACCATACTGAGTTCTTTTCTGAGGGCGAACAGCATGCTACCACTGATCGCTCCCATTATATCCTGAATTTTGCACCTGGAAAAAAGCAAAATGGGGGCTGGCGCTGTGATGCAGCTGGTTAAAGCTCTGGCCTGCAGCGCCAGCATCCCGTATTGGTGCCAGTTCGAGTCCCGGCTGCTCCACTTCTGATCCAGCTCCCTGCTAATGTGTTTGGGAAAGCAGCGAAAGATGGCCCAATGCCTTGGGCCCTTGCACTCATGTAGGAGACTCAGAAGAACCTCCTGGGTCCTGGCTTTGGATCGGCTCAGCTCTGGCCATTGCAACCATTTGGGGAGTGAACCAGTGGATAGAAGACCTCTCTCTCTCTCTCTCTGTCTCTACTTCTCTCTGTAACTCAAATAAATAAAATAAATATTTAAAAAACAGCAAAATTATGTCTGCAATAGTCTGAAGTTAGAGATTCAAAATGAAAATTTTAAGAAAATTTCCACAAGACAAAGTTCTTAAACAAAAATCCCATTTTCCAAGCCACGGCTTGGTCCTCCAACAGGAACCCTGAGACATCAAGGTGTTGTGATTTGGGGAGGCTACAGGGAGCTGGGTGTCGACACACTTACCTGGCCAGTAGTACATGTAGACCTTCCTTTTGGCCTTGGTCAGGGTGACCCACAGAGGTTCCGAGCCATTCCACCAGAGGGGCATCAGGCTGTCTCTGTTGACTCCAATGTCAAATGACTTGTTGGTGCTGGGGTCCCACATGTAGTTCCCAATCATCTGATGGACCTCACAGTGGCGGCCTACAGCAGTGAGAACACAACGCTGTCAGTTCACTGCTCTCATGCTTAGGATTTTTATATTGTTTTCTGATTATAAAAGTGACTCATGTTCATTTAAGAAATGCAGAAGAGCACAAAGCCTTGCTTTGGATTTTTGTTATTGGAAGCATGTCTTCTTAGACCGTAACATTGAGGTGAACAATCCAGGGAGCTGTGCCCTCATTGGTGGAGGTGGTGAGTGTAAGCTGTTCTCAGTTACACTGAGGGTGAGGGTGCCCCTTTGTTCATGGTGTGACGTCTCAATGCGAATCAGTATGGAAATTGTGCGTCCCTGGAAGCCTCAGCTGGGGCCTGCACCCCAGAGCCTGGTCTGGGCCCCTTCCTTAGCTTCCTCCCACAAGACAAGGACTCCAGCTATTTCAGAGTGTATCCTCCCCTTTCCTGGGTAAAAGGGGCTGTGCTTCAGTGCTGAACGGTGGTACAGCCTAGGCCATTTGGAACAGAGGGGTGAGAAACAGATCCAACTTTGGAAAACAAAGCAAGGAGGCAACCCTCCAAGTGGAGCGGTCTATAGAAACGAGCATTGGTTCTGCCGGGCACAGCTCAGTCCCGCAAGCTGACAGACTGGAACACTTGGATGCTGTTGAAACACTAGGCTTAAATTATTTATTTTGGAGCAATCTGTTACATCTTTAAAGTAAAAATAACACAAACATTGACAAGTGCATCAAAAATGGCTGTGATGCTGGTGAGCCTCATTGGCACCAGGATGAAACCCGCCTCTCTGAGCTGCCTGATTATGTTAATCCAAGTGGCTTTTTCTGTGGGTCTGTGTGCTCTGGGTGATTCTCCTGGACCCCTCCCCTACCAGCACTCTAGTTCTGAGAATTTTCATGTATCTATTCATTTATTTGAAAGGCATAGTGACAGAGAAGGGGGAGAGATGAAGGGATCTTCCATCCACTGGTTTAAATAGCTGCAACAGCCTTCATTTTAAAGCAAAAACAAATAGCAACCATAGAATGCAATTTTTGAAAATTTGGATACAAAAATATCATGAAGGGTTTTTTAGATTGCATCACAGAAAGCAAGGCATTTCACAAACATTGCTCAGAGATTTGAGCAGAACTATAAGGTGAGACTTTTTATTTTGACCAAAGTTTTAGCATGTGGACTAATAAATTTTTTTAAAGATTTATTTATTTATTTGAAAGTCAGAGTTACACAGAGAGAAGAGAGGCAGAGAGAGAAAGAGAGTCTTCCATGCACTGGTTCACTCCCCAGTTGGACACAATGGCTGGAGCTGTGCCGATCTGAAACCAGGAGCCAGGAGCTTCTTCCAGGTCTCCCACGTGGGTGCAGGGGCCCAAGCACTTGGGCCATCTTCTACTGCTTTCCCAGGCCATAGCAGAGAGCTGGATCTGAAGTGGAGTGTGGGGAGCAATCCGGACTAGACTAAGTTACTCGAATTAGGACTTATTCTATGCATCTGCTCTCCCACAATATGGCGCTGGGAGAGAAGTAAACAGCTTCCGCACAGCTGCCTCCAGTTCAACCAATAAACTGTAGGACTTGCTCCTGATTGGAGAGCAGCGTACTCGGTGTGTGGGCAGCCGAGTTGGGATTGGCGGAGGAGGAATATAAAGGAGGAGAGAGACGGCATGCACCGGGAACATCTATGGGGAACATCTAAGGGAACCCGTGCAGCCCCCAGAGAGCCGGCCGGCGGTGTGCCGCTCCCCTGCGGAAGTGGGGAATGCGGCCAGGGGGAACTGCCCTTCCACGGAGGTGGAAGGGATAGTAGCCAACCCGGGAAGAACCAGCAGCAAACCCGGGGAGGGCCGAGCAGACAAAAGAACAGCGCAGGGTCCTGTGTCGTTCCTCCACGAAGAGGGGGAGCGACAGTGGAGCATCCAGGTCTTAAACTGGCACCCACAAGGGATGCCGGCGCTTCAGGCCAGGGCATTAACCCACTGCACCACAGCGCCGGACCCCATGGACTAATAAATTTTAAAAGTAAAGTAAAAACATCAGTCAATCTCTCCAATGGCTGAGGAACTTATTATTTTTATTTGTTCCTTCAACTAACATTTATTAAATATTCCTATGTACTTACACTGTGGTGAGTGTAGCCATTCAAATCTGGATAAACACGGTTCCCATCCTCAAATGGTTTGTAATTTAATATTCAATACGTTGTACCTGTAACTTGAGATGCATAGGATCCTCACTCACTCTATCGCAGAAGGCAATTCCTAATATGTTTTAAGTAACTCACTAAAAGCATGGACTATTTCTTAAAGTATATTATCTTTTTTGCATATGAAAGTTTAATAATACTAAGGGAAACTCTTTTAGGAATAAGAGTTCTTATCTATTTCCTTTTTTCAAAATAATGCATTCCAGGACAGCAGGAGATAGCTCAAGTACTTGGGTCCCTGCCACCTTCATGGGAGATCTGGATTGCGGACCTCTGGGGAATGAACCAGTGGATAGAGATTTATCCCTCTCTCTCTTTCTCCTTTATTCTGTCTGCCTTTCAAAGAAAACGAAAATAAATAAATAAAAAGTAAAAGAAAATGCATTCTATGTAAATTTTAAAATGATTTATTTATGTATTTATTTGATTGGATATATAGAGAGACAGACAGATAGAGAGAGCTCCCATCTGCTGGTTTGCTTCCCAAATATCTGCAATGGGTAGGACTAGGTCAAGCTGAAGCTAGGCGCCCAGAAGTAAAGTACTCGCTGCATCCCAGCGTGCATATTGGCAAGAGTTGGAATAGGGAGTGGCACTCTGATGTGGTTTGCAGGCCTCCTAACAGGCAATTTAACTGCTGTGCTAAACACCTGCCCCCTTCCCTTAAGACTTTTTTTTTGATCATCTCATTGATGTATATTCTCCATTTTCACAGGACAAGGTAATCAGGTTAATGTCTACCCGGAAAGCTTGCCTTTATTGAGTTCTTCCCTGTGGATGCTCTCCAGCGCCCTCCCGAGTGCCGGGAGGGTATCCCATCTGGAGCTGGGTTACACAGAGGCCAAGGAAGAGTGTAAGTGTGGAACGCAGTGTGAAGGCAGCAATCAAAGAGAAACCTCTAACTGAGTGAATGACCAGGAAAAGACCAGAAAGGCTACGGATGTCAGCAATGGGAACGATGGCAAGAGATGCTCAGTGGGAGGAGCGTAGTGGTCGCCACTTTCAAGTTTGATCTGTGCGGGCGATTTTAGATGAAATGCATAAGCCCCCAATGAAGGTGAGGCCCCATGAGTTTCACAAGTGCTGCATTCAAAGAAGCAAGAAGCAACCCAAAATAACTTTTTTTTTTTTTTTTTTTGACAAGCAGAGTGGACAGTGAGAGAGAGAGACAGAGAGAAAGGTCTTCCTTTTGCCGTTGGTTCACCCTCCAATGGCCACCGCGGCCGGCGCGCTGCGGCCGGCACACCGCGCTGATCCGATGGCAGGAGCCAGGTACTTCTCCTGGTCTCCCATGGGGTGCAGGGCCCAAGCACTTGGGCCATCCTCCGCTGCACTCCCTGGCCACAGCAGAGAGCTGGCCTGGAAGAGGGGCAACCGGGACAGAATCCGGCGCCCCGACCGGGACTAGAACCTGGTGTGCCGGCGCCGCAAGGCGGAGGATTAGCCTAGTGAGCCGCGGCGCCGGCCATCAAATTAATAACCTTCACTTGCATATCTCCAAAGCCCTACAATATCATTTGGCAACATTTCCCTCTCTTCAGCACCTAAACTTAGCACTCTGGGTCTTTAAGAGTCCGAACTCTGTCCTTTTGTGCTCTCTGGGTAGAAGGCTGTAAGGTGGGGGAGGGGAGCTTCGAAGTGGTGCGGTGGGTTAAGCGGCTGTTTGTGATATAGCACCCATTATCTGTGTGCTGGGTCTGAGTCCTTGCTGCTTTGCTTCTCAACCAGCTCCCTGCTGATGTACCCGGGAAGGCAGCAGATGATGGGTCCCTGCCACTCACATGGGAGACCCGGATGGAGTTCCTGGCTCCTGGCTTTGGCCTGGCCCAGACCTGGTTGTTGTGGCCATGTGGCGAGTGAACCAGCAAATGGAGGTCTCTCTGCTTTTCAAATGAATCTTTTGTCAAAAATGGAAAAGTGCAAAGGGCCTCCCTTGAATTGCAGAGCTGTTGTATGAGAGAGAGAGAGAGAGAGAGAGAGAGAGAGAAAACACACATGACAGAGAAAGAAATACAGAGAGAACATACTGTAGGGCGGAGCTGTTTCAACAAGGTCACTGCTGACTCCTGTTTAGAAGTTGGTGGGTGGGTGGGGCCCTGAGTTGACACAGGCAGGTGCTGTGCTGGTCCCCAGGGCTTTGCCTTCGTTCTTAGACAGCTGCCTGTGGCGGAAGCCAGCAGGAGCCTGAGTGCTTCCCGTCTCCTTGCCTGCTCCCAGTCTTCTCCGGTGGCTGAGCTGACTCCCCTTCCCATGACCGTGGTAAGCCTGGTGGTCTGTGCTTGTGACAACCTGGGCCTGCTCTTCCTCAAGCTGATTCTCCCTCCCCCGCCCCCTTTCACTGTTATTGCCTGGGCAAAAGTGGTGGCTGACAGCACAGAACAGAACGTACGGCTTCTGCAGCCCACGACTGTTCCTCTCTCTCCCCCTGCCTGACCCACGCCTATTTTTATACAACTGTAACTCTCTTCTCGACTCCCCTCTGGTCTGTGCCTTCCACACAAAGCTGGGCTGCAGTTCGCCGACTTGCACCCTGTGCTCAAGGCTGGAGTAGATCCAGTACCCGACGTCCTTACACACCGCGGTTCGCAAGTGGGTTCTAGGTCTGTGCTCCTTCTCCTCCACTAGCAACTCCACGGGACTTTAAAATCCAGGCTCAACCTTCTCAGAGAGGGCTCTTGGAGCATTGCTCACACCTAGAACTACTGTCCTTTGTTCCCCAAAGTCTTGGTCGAGTGCATTCTGAGGTCACGACCGTCACCAGCGGTTTCTTAGCAAACATCCACAGACATCCATGAAGGTGCAGCCTTGGACTTCTTGCTGA